GATAATTAACATTATGAACAACAGTTACAATTAAATCAGTAGTACGAAATTCAACTAGTACAGCAATATTTGGATAAAAATCGATGAGAATAGGCTTAACAGTTGACATTGTTGTATTAGTATTAAGAATTCTTCTATGATATCGAAATGTATGATTAATAAATATAATAAATAGAATTGAAATGACTAGAATAATTACTAATTTAAATGTTTTTGTTAGCATATTTTAACAGGTGATATTAAGACCATATATATATACAGATTCTTCTGATATATAACAATTGACTCTGTTCATATTTTTCCATGACAACTTATATCAGTATTGCTATCAGTTACAGAAGAAACCATAAATTTTAAAAAAGGAATATACTTTCTTGATATATTTACTTCGACAAACATGTCTGCTTCAGACTTCAAAAAAAAAATTTTTTTCTTCTGTTTCTATTCTTTTTCTCATGCATTTATGATAGGAAGACGATTTCTTTCAATTGAATCTAACATTTCTTCCTTTTTTTCTCGATGTTTGTCTAGTAAATTTTATTCTGGAAATAAAAAATTTATTTTAAAAAAATAACACAAAAGGAATAGCTGTCCTCTAAAACATAATTAATCAGCAATTTCACTAAACATATTTACTTTAAGTAATATAAAAAAAATATTCTTTATCTATATTGATGCTTTCATTAAATTTAATAATATCCTTCGTCATTGAAAACATAAAATAATCATAAATCAACGTGACTGTGAAGCACAGTGGGTGAGTTTGTGATTTATTCTCTTGTATGGTAATAGTCAAACAACAGAAAAATGTTGTATTTGTTGATTGTTATATCTATTTTTAATGTGTACAAATTCTTACTGATTCATATTTGTTCAACAAGGTGCTATATATACACAACATTGTCGTTAAGATAGATGAATTGAAAGACACATTCCTTTCTCAATGGTGCATTGTACTTAGTATATTTTATATGATAGGAAATAAAGTCCAAGACTAACAAATCAGTACGTCGTAAAAATAAGCATAGCTTTTCATGAATTTACTGAAGTTATACAAACAAGACCTGAGTATTGTTTATAATAAGTATCAATTGATAAAAATAGATATTAATACAACTGTTGTTGATTGTACTTGAATATTTAGTTGTTTAATGATGTATATTATATTTTTAAAAAAAGAAATACTTCAATTGGTTAACCTTGAATAATAATTCTGAAGAACCATGAATTAAAATATACGAAAAATGAATTAATTGTTCAATTGATTTTCGGCTAATTATCATATATAAATTCAATGAAAATCGAATAATATTTCGTTACCATGCAGATTATTGTTCTTCATTATTATAAATTCAATTCAGGAGAATAGTTTAAGTTCTTTTTGAGTTTAAATTGTGTTATGATTGATGAATATCTTAGAATATCCTATTCTTTTCAAATGTATTTATTATTAATTTTAATAATAACAGTGACTGAAAAATTTGCTTTACCAAATTCACATGTAATGAATGTTAATAATAGTCAATCTATCAATGAAAGTATCTCTCGATCAATATCTAAAAATGCATGGTCAGAAATAAAAACGAACCATGGCAAAGATCGATTAAATTCTTATCATCTAAAACATACTCGTGGAAATATAATAAAATTTGTTTTTACAATCATTGGTGTTGTTTGTATCTTAATTATTATTGGTGGTACTATTAGTACTATCGTTTATTATATTAAAAAAACATAAATCAAATCTTTAAAATTAATAAAGAATAAGAGGATTTAGTCTTTATTTAAAAGTATATTGAGTAAATCTAACAATTTGTTCTATTTCATTATTGTAATTGTAACAGAATATCAGAAGTCTTGATTTTGACTGAAAACTAGATTAGTGTGATAGTTAGCAGATGATTTGGCTATTTTTTCTTAAACATGCATATTTCAAATGGTCTTATGTCAGAATACGTTTAACTTACTAATTGTAAGATTTTTTTTGAATATAAATTGATCATAAAAAAAAAATATAAAAAAAGTTAATGTTCATAAAACAATAGTCTGTTTCATTTGTTTTTATTGATAGTACTTTGATGACCACCTTCGTCTTCTCGTTGTCAGCCTCATATCATTTGGATAGTACCTCTTCCAGCTTGTCCATTTACTTGACGATTACCACCATTGAGTTGTCCGCCTGATGTCATTTGTCCAGTAGTTCTTCCAGCTTGTCCATTTACTTGACGATTACCACCATTGAGTTGTCCACCTGATGTGATTTGTCCAGTAGTTCTTCCAGCTTGTCCATTTACTTGACGGTTACCACCATTGAGCTGTCCATTACTTAATCGATCATTGCCTCCAGTCTGAATAGTTCCTTGACGATTACCTCCTCCAACCTGAGCATTATTTCCTCGATCTTGTCCTAAAAACTGATCATTACGTCGTGCACCTTGTCCTGTAAATTGACCTTGATTTCCTCGTTCTTGTCCTAAAAATTGACCGTTACGTCGTGAATCTTGTGTTGCAAATTGACCTTGATTTCCCCGATCATTTGGAGATTGAAAATTATTTCGTCGCTCTTGTCCTAAAAATTGACCGTTCTGTCGTGAATCTTGTCCTGTAAACTGATCATTACGTCGTGCATCTTGAGATTGAAAATTATTGCGTCGATCTTGTCCTAAAAACTGATCATTACGTCGTGCATCTTGTCCTGTAAATTGACCGTTCTGTCGTGCATCTTGTCCTGTAAATTGACCGTTCTGTCGTGAATCATGTCCTGTAAAAAGACCTTGGTTTCGTCGATCATTTGTAGATTGAACATTATTGCGTTGATCATTTGTAGATTGAAAATTATTGCGTCGCTCTTCTCCTGAAAAGACATCAATTTGTCGTCGAGCTACTTCTTCAGACGGACCATTATTTCGACGATCTTCACCTCCAAGTTGATCATTGTTTCGACGATCTTCTCCTTGGAATTGACCATTCTGTCGACGATCTTCACCTGCGAATTGACCATTCTGTCGACGATCTTCTCCTTGGAATTGACCATTCTGTCGTCGATCTTCTCCTTGAAGTTGACCATTCTGTCGACCTTCTTCTTCGGAAGATTCCTAAAAAATAGAATGTTTTATTCAACAATAATTCAAATTAAACAAAAATAATCTAAAGAAATTGAAGGTATTCTTATATATACCTTTACATATCATGGTTCTTTAAACTTCTATTTAATATACCCAAAAGTCATTTCTTACGCTTCTTTAGTATGCAAAATTACTTACATCTTGTCTTCCGTCTTGTCCGAGATTACGGCGAGAATCTACATCTCTACCACGTTCTTGGTTACCGGAAAACTGTTGTGATAAAATATCTAACATAATGAAAAAAGAAGTAATTGCTAATTTTTAAGAAGAACTAATCAATCATACATACTTGGAACAAAAATAGCTAATAAAAAGAAGCACAAGGCAATTTTAACCATCTTTAGAATATTGTTAGTGAATATAAATGACTAAAAGCTAAATAACTCTATAGTATCTGTTTATATACTAGTGACTAGAAGAAAACAATGACATGTTTCTGTCGATGAAATAGTATTGTATATGTCCCATTACTATTCGACAGACACTGGCAATCGAGGTATGTAAAGAAATCGATTCAGACGAGAAAATAAATAAATATATATATATATATATTTATTTTATGTCTACAATTATAGAAATAAATGTTAATCATGACGTGGTCACCTAGAACTTTCTATCCTCCACTGAATAGTACATTCTAAACAGAATCGAAATTTCACTCGGTTACTGGTACATTTATATATATGAAGAATGTTTGAAACTATGTATGAGCAAGAACATTCTATGCTATAACTTCTATTATTGAAAAATCTTTATTATTGAATTTTAATTATTGTTTCATAATTCTTTTTGGTAAAAAAAAGCATATATAAATAATAAATAGACATGTATCTAAAGAAAAATTCAAAATTTTAAACTTCATATATACGATTTTTTATATGTTAGATAGGAAAAGATCATACAGTACAATTGTACTTATTATAACATCATCGATCATATTTATATCATTAGAAAAATGTGTTTGTTCTTAACTCGATTAGTAATGTTTAACAATGATGAAATATAACATTTAACACTAGTATGCAACAAAAACGTCCTATTAAAACTGAATCAAATAATCATTAAACTAAGGTAGACAAAGTTCATAATGAATATTAAGTCTATTAGACTTTACATTCTAATATCGTTTATTAAATTATTAATACAGAGAAGAAAGTATTATTATTGGATTTAACTTTGTTACAAGAATATTGACATTATATTGAAAATAATTTAGAACTGTAGACGTTGTGGGTATACGAATAAGTATAGCAACATAGGCAGTTTTTAACGACCATGGCGTCGACCACCACCACCACCACCGTGATGACCCTTTTGTTTAAAACAGAAGAATTAAAATAAAATAAAAGAAATGAATGTTTCATTACCCCTCCACCACGATGTCCTCCACCGCCACCACGATTCCATCCACCACCACCATGATTCCACCCGCCACCACCGCGATTCCATCCGCCACCACCATGATTCCATCCACCACCACGATTCCATCCACCACCCCAACCCTACAAAAAAAGACATCTTTTAATATCAATAAATTTATGTTTCTAATATTCATGACAAAAGATAACGTTCGGCAAAACTTACTCTGCCCCATGCATTTCTACCACCACGATAAAACCCACCACCATAATATCCAGCTCCATAATAACCACCTCCTCCACAACATTGTGAATAGTAATCAAGACAACAACTACCGTCTACAGCCCATTGTACACAACAACCATCACCTATGTACGATGCTTTTATAATATCTACATGAAAATATTGAAGTATATTCAAAATACAGCTTTTTTGTTCATTAATTACTTACTAGAAAAAATAAGAGTAAGAAAAATCAAATACACAGTTATGGATGTCATTTCTTCCTATATAATGAAGTGGCTAGATATTAATCTATATAAAACAATACACGTTTATATAGTGGTACAGACCACAAAAATCGAAGAACGATTAAAAGTGCAGTCATTCAGTAAATTCTCTGTTTTGTTATATATATACAATTAACGTATCCGAATTGCGTAACTGACGGAAAAAAAAGACATATAATTTAAAGATTGAGAATAATATTATTCATTTCTTCAATTTAAAATAAATACTTCATCACTTTAATTGTTAATATTACTAACAAATTTTCTAAAAACTTTATTTTCATTATATGATTATAAAAAGAGAACTAATTCGTTTTTTCTATCTTATAAATTTCAAAAAAATAAGAATGGCGCAACGATTCATTCATCAACTAGAATGCAAATGAAGTAAAGTTCTTTTAAGAAAACTCTTTTCTATTTATTAAAATTTTATTGAAGCTGGTTTCATTACTAATCATACTGAAAAATTGTTATCAAAATTAAAACCAAATGATGAAATAATTATTCTCAGTATACTCCTTCAACCTATGTAAGTATCATGTACTAATGTTCGATCGAAAGAAATGAATATGTATACTGTATTTCTTATATACAAGAAGAGAAAGAGAAGAGATCACATAATCGATGAATATATTTATATGTAATATGGCGGAAAACAAACTATAAAAAAACAAGGGAAGTAGACGAAGTTATTTGCACGAAAAGAATATAAAAATATGGAATAATTTAATGCATGTAAAAAATAAGACGAGGAAAGTACTAAGGACAACTGTCACTACATCACAATAAGTGTACTTATCCCGGATAAAGGTTATTTGGCAGATTTGGTACTATTTTTTTTATTAAATGCATGATTTATTATTGAGATGACTTTATTTATTTGGTTTAGTATTAATATTTCAAGATTATTGACACAATGATAATCTGTATGAAATTGTTTCGTTCGTGATCATAAATCTAGTTTGATATCCACTTATTGAACTAGCAATGATCTATTTCTTTTTAAATTATAGAATGTCAATTTTGTATAACAATTATACTTGTTTTAATAATTATTAGTCGATTAAGCATTTTTTATATATTAAGACGACACTATGATTATTATAGATGTAGTAGAGTATCAAAAGTATTAGTTTTGATTAAAACCTTGATTCGTGTGATAGTTGATAGATGATTTGACTACTCTTTTTCTTTTAAACATACATATATGAAATGTTGTTATATTCGAATACTTCTATTTTATTAATTGTAAGATTTTTTTAAACATAAATTGATTATAGAGATTAAGTACAGAAAAAGCTAATATTCACAAAACAAAATTTAATTTTCGTTACTTTTAGTAATAGTACTTTTATGACCACTTTTGCCTTCTCGTTTTCCACCTGATTTGATTTCACCAGTACCTTTTACAGCTTGTCCATTTCCTAGATGGCTACCACCACTGGGTTGTCCACCTGATGTGATGTGGGTAGTACTTGTTTCAGATTGTCCACTTACTGGACGAT